ATCTCTTATCTATCCTAGCTTTACTAAAAAGTTTAAAGCAAACCAAGGTGCATAATCTGTTGTAAAACCATATCTCATCTCTGCATTCTGTGTTCTATGATATTTAAGCAATTCATAATTTTAAGTATGGCAGAACAGTGGGAAAGTTTATATGCGTTATGCCCCAGGAAAACGAACTTATTAGGCAGAGCTTAGACAAATGCATCAGGACAAAGTTGTACGTTTCTGGTGGAAGGTAAGAATATGTGCATTAAGCTTGATGTGTATAGGCAAAGATAAAAAGGGAAAACTTTACTGTTCTTAGATTCATTTTTAAGAACATGAAATATCAACCTGAACCTATGTTGAGCTGAACCTGTGTTGCTTCAGACCTAAATATCTACATACCTGTCCACTAATAAACACAGTATTAAAGAACAAAAAGGCAGCAAATGCTTCTCAGACTGCTTAGGAGGAATTACTCAAGTTTGTGCTTTCACAAACGGAATTTCCTCTTTGTCTCTCTTTGTCATTGCATGAAATTGCATAGCTATAAGATACCATTTAGGATGTTGAAATACTGCTTAAGCACCTGATCTGACAGTTTTTTTTCTGTTGTGACCTTGCTGTGACTTGGATTTACTTTTGAAATAGATGGCAAGTTTTCTAGCTTTGATTGTTTCTGCTGAAAGACAGGCTAGTCTTTGATCAGTTCTGTTTTCCTGTCCTTTATGTTAGACAATAAGTCATTTAGCTGGGTGACAGAAGAGAGAACACCTATATCGAGAAACCACTATCGTTCTTAAAAGCAGTATCCTGAACATGTTGACAAGCAATGATATTTCATTCATTCACGGTTTTTAACTGATAGTATTTTACACTACATTTTTAATCATATTATCCCGTTAAAAAAACATGTCGTGTAGTCAAGCTTTTAATCTGGCAGCTTTTAAAATCTGCTGATCAGAAACATGAGAGTTTGTCATATAATAGTTTTGCAAATAAATTATACTGACTCTTAATGATATGTTTCTTGCTTAAACTTGGCATTCTTTTAATGACATATTCTGGACTTATTTTCTCTATCAGGGATTATTGTACCTATCAACGTGGTCTTCATTTCCCACTTGTTCAAGTGTATGTACCCCGTAAGCATTCAGACCTGGTTGCAAGGTGCAAATGAGATGGAGAGTGTTATCTTAAATCACCAGGATTTATGGAGATTCACCTCTTTGCTTGGATCTAGCCCACAGAGACTAGCCTGGACTCTTATTAGAGGTTTAAACTACCGAGAGGAGGAAACTTTACCGAGCTCTAAAACGGGCCCTTTGAGAGAGTTAAGAGACTGAATATCAGTGTTACGCTACATATAAATACACACGTAGACACAAACACGGGCACACACAATGTGTGTGTGTGTGTGTGTTTAATTGTATATATAAAATTATATAAAATATAATGAAAATTTTATACACACAGACACAGACACATACGCATGCTATGCTACTATACTATATATTATGGAGAGAGATACACCAGTACTTTTCGTAATACTTACAATGCAGTATATTTTGCCAGGGAATTAAATGGGGCATACCCCTTTTCGCTAACCAGTGAATAACTAATGTCATACGCTCTGAGGAAATACAAGAAAGTGAAATTTATTGTTTTCTGCAGAAAACGTACATGATGCTTCTCCTCATGTCCTCCTCTCTCTTTTACACCTCTCCCCTGTTTGGAGTGCCTTGTTGGGTCATGCTATTCTGCACTAAATAAGGGTAATCTACAACTTCCTGTATAGGAAGTACAGCGATTGGCCTGAGAGTTTTAACAGTTGTGCTTTCATTAGCCCATTCTGCAAGGTATTACTTGTGAGTTTTGAAGTACGCTCAAGACTGCTTATACTGGGCTGTTTGTGCTCTTTGACCCTGTTTCCTTTATGCTCTGCTATATAGATCGTCATGGCTTTGATTGGAGCAAGGATTGTGTGCATGTGAACCATGCCCACAGAGCAAATTAGCCTAAGAGTAAGAACGTGTCAGTGTAGGACAGTTCGTTATTTTATAATTACTTGTGATCTTGCTTGACTACCAGAAGCAGCAGTGTAGTACCATACTAATCTAAGTGCTGCTTTCTGTACCTCTACTTAGCACAGCAGCTTACCTTTTATATGAGCCCTCTAATTCATTGAGAAAAGATGTAATGATAATTTGTATTAATTTAGTTAGTTTAATTGTAGCTGATTTCAAATTTTTAATGTATGCTTTTCCTGGGGAAGTTGGCAAAAAGGCTAAGAAAGGACTGGTTTTTTTTTTTCAGAATAATCTTGCTTTCTGAGCTAAAAAGGAATTTTAATCTTGAGCTGAGGGAAATCCTTCTTTGACACTGATAGTAACAAGTACGGTGAAGGTTATTGATACTGTTTATTTGGATACTAGCTGAATTTAGCTTTGATTGCATTTAAATCTTGTCTGCAAGCTAATTGGGATTTTTTTTTTTTTAAGCTGTAGTTTACCTAAATTCAGGTACTCTAAGCAGAAAAAAGCTCGGAGAGGTGTTGCAAGAGTTAGCTAAATGGGGTGTTATCTTAAAGGGAGATGTTCAAATTTATCAAGTAGTCTTATGCTCTACAGTTAAACCTATGACTGAGCCCATTGTTGGGTTGGAGTGCAACATTGCCCCACAGTACAGAATTACTGAGGTGTAAAAATTGAAATTTGACATAGGAAACACGCATACTTGAGGATTAGTGTTATGACATTAAAAAGCTCTGCCAGCCTGGAGCATTAAAATCTGTTCCATCCCGCTTTCTGGCGTATCTGCTGCCCTTCTCCTTTCCATATCATCAACCTCTTGCCTACTTACCAAGATGTTTTTACAGTTGATTTTTTTTTTTTTTAACTCAACACCAAAAACCTACTAAAATGAAACACCAAAAATGTACTAAAATGAAACTCCTTTAGTAGCTACCTGGTTAGCAGTGAAGAATATATCAGTTGGAGTTAGAGCAGTCAGGAGAGACTTTTTACTCTTATGTTTACAAAGTAGTTTGTAGAATTGAAACTGTTATCCATGTAAGTCAATTTAAGTACACAGAGAATGTCTACACTATTTTGTTCAGCTGTGGTATTGCAATATGAGAGAGAATGTGAGATGATGTAATCAGTTTTTCACATTGCACTTGAATAAGCAATTACAGTTAAGTTTGTGCAGGCAATTTTAGAAATTTTCTGCCTGTCACAAAATAGTGTTTTCTATGGAACAGAGCATTTTCAAGGCCTGTCAAGGTAAAATCTCCTGTAGCCTATGCTGCTCACTTCGCATTAGTGGTATGTGGGGTGGGGTTTGGTTTGGTTTGATTTTGGAAGGGTCCTCCAGCAAGCATGCCTGCAATCTGCAAGTGGCATCATTGTACCTAAATTCTGGCTCCTTTCTTTATGCAGTCTTTTGACCCAAAGGGGAGGAAAAAGTGTATGGAGGTGAGAGAGCGCAGAAGTCACTGTTTTAAGTTCTTGTTTGCAAAGTCGAGCATAATGTGTCCCTCATTGGCAGGCTTGGTCAGATGGAGGAGCCAGAACAGAATATTCAATTTACACGTTGTGTTTTGTTTTTGGCCATGGGTTTTCTGGCATATATCTCTGCACAGTGGTAGCCAGAGCTTGGTTCCAGGAGTAAGTGCTTTTCATATGTTTATAAAATGATGAGAACAGGATTTTGCCAATTTTTCTGTATATGTGTATGTGACTTTTTGCGTCCCTAAATTAGCTTTTTGTCATCTTGCAAGAAAGTTGGTGAGGTCTAATATCAGATATGTGTATTAGTAAGTTTGCTACTAAAGGAACTCTGTCACCTATGATAAAAAAAAAAAAAAAAAAGTATTTCCAAGGTCTAGTTTCATAGCAGCATTTTATGATCAGAGTGTTTTCATTAATACTACTTTTTTGTTCTTCCTGTAATTATGTTCTCCAGGTGGGCATAGTTTTATATACTACAAGGCAAATAGGGACTACTGCGACTTCCTTTATAGCATTTGGCAGGGTATGTCCCAGAATGAATTCTTGCTTAAATCTTTTAGCAAAACTGCAGTCCGCAAATAAAACAGTGATGAGAAATCATCTTTTACTTAAAGGAATTTTTTTTATTTTCGGGGAAGTTTATAGAAGTATTCAGCAGTTACATAATTAATATAATTTGTAACTGTTTCTTAGGATATCTTTTATACTGGAACAAAGATTTACTACTGAGGAATCTGAATGGATTCATTCATTTTCTTTATGCATGCAAGTGAAGTAAATCTGTATTAAATTATGTGTTTTTAAGATGGTCTGTAGTCTAAATATTTGATGCAGATTTAATTTGGGGGGAATTTCACAATTTCAAGGATATCACTTTTCTTACAATGTATATACCATGCTGTGAAGTATTACCTAAACTGGTCAGTTGACACCACCAGTATGTTAATTCTGCGATATTATATTGTGGAGTTTTTTTATTGTTTTAATAGCTTATTTTGATAACTTGTTGAATTCATAAATTGAAATATATTCTCTGCTTGGTATGTGATTTTTGTTCATCAATTGGAATCTTCTTGTCATTTATCCTGATTTCTGTTGGCACAGACTGACTTGTGAGTGCGAGTTAGTAGAAGAAAAACATTCAATAGTTTATACATCCATTCATTTGCATTTTAATCTCATCATGATAGTTAGAATCTAGAGAAGGAGAACAGAAGGTTTCATTTTATCCTTTTCACATATGTAGCTTTTGTAAATGTCTTGGCTTTTCAGAAGAAATGTTTCGTATGTCATGAGGGCTAAATTTTGATGTTGGATTAGTAGAGAAAACCGCCCTTGAAAATATGTTCGCGTACTATTGTTTCTGGGGATTGTCTGGGCCTAAGGACGCAAGGCAACTTCTTTTAGTAATGAGAGCTTGTAATTAAAGGTGTAATGCACGTTAGTTAAAGTCTGCTTAAACACTTATGCCCATGATTTTATTAATAGATTTTATTACAATCACAGTAATTTAACCAAAGCCCTTAAAGTTAAGGACCCTGTTGACAGACAACACAACTGATGACTTTTCTGCAAAGTTAGTAAGTGTGCTAGGAATTTCACTCCTGTGGGCAAATCTGTTGTCAGATGCAGAGCAGAGAAACGGAAGGGAGAAGGGCAGTGCTTGAGTTCGAGTTTTATTTCAGTCTATCTTAAGGCCTGTATCAGGTAAATCTTCAGTTGGAAAGATAAAGCCTTTTATTTCTGGGCTGTAGTTAATGCTCAGATTTTATGGATTAATGATAGCCAGCAGGAGAGAGGAAATTGGGAGGGGGAAGAGGATATGGTAGCGGTGTCTGAGCACAGCTCATACTGAGTTGCTAGGTCAGGGAGAAAGGAAGCTAGCGGCCAAAATAGTGTGTTTTTTTTTTTCCAGTCTTGGTAACTCCTGGAGTTCTCAGACATATATTTAAGACTTCTCTGGTGTCTTGCTGTCAAATCCACACTTGTGAAAACATGAGTTTTGCTGTTATGATGTTTGTATTGTATGAACGTTTCAGTAGGGACACAGATACTGCTGACTGAACTGCAAGAGAAACACAAATAAAGATCCAGTTAAAGAGCCAGTGTTTACAGAGAACTGTCTTGGTGGTGTATGGGTCTGAAAAGAGACGTGCTGTTCTTACAAATATATAGTTTAGCTTGCATGTGATAATTTGAATCACTTTCAGTTTAGGCTCGTAAGTGGTTAAAAAGAAGAACGTTCTTGCTGACTGCATGGACTTCTGTCGACTGAGAGTAATACTGCGGTACTGGTGTATAGGCAGACAGTACGTCACGTTATCTCTGTTTAGCTTGTCTGTGCTTTATCATGTTGCCTAACAGTTTTAATTTAAAAAAAAAAAAAAAAAAGAGTGCGAGAGCACGCACATGGCTGGTAGGAATAGTTTTGCGTAGAATTATTTGAAAGAAGCAGCTATAGAGTGCCTTAGACCAGCTGCTTATTGCAACAAAGAGAAGTATTATGAGAGGCGCAATAAATGTGTTTGCTATCTGTGCTTTCGGTGGACTATAGACTTGAGGAATTTTGTAAAATACAGTTGTTTTATCAGAGTGCTGTCTTGCCAGTTGTGTGATCCGAGTCTGGTTACCATGGAGCGTGGTCAGATGGAGGAGACAAATCTAGTCAGTAAAACAGCAGTTTGTTTGGTAGACTCTGCTGTGGTTTCTCTCTCTCTGGTTTAAATTCAAGTTTGGTGAGGAGGAAAGTAGTGGGAAAATAAGAAGTCTTATTGATTTAAATATAAAGCAGTTTTAGCCCTAATCAACCTTATAAGCCACATGAGAACTTGTGATGCAGTACAAATACAGTAATGTGAACGTTCAGTTTATCGCCATAACCAATGTGGGGGATATATTCCTCATGCTCTTACCCTGTTACATGAACTCTTCTGCTTGGCGTTGCTCTTTGCTTGCCTTGTGTCTGTGAGATGGGCTATAGAAGATGCTGAGGACTGGCCACTTGCATCTTTTCATGAGAAGGTGCTCAGTGTGTCTTCCAGCCTGTCGTCTCAGGGCTCTTACTGCCCTCAGCTGCGCACCCCTGCCATCTGTCCTCATTAGGCTGAAGTTTTGTTAACTGCATTAATTTTGCTCCTGTGATGCTGCAGGTGAAAACACCAGAACTGTCTCAAATATACCCTAAGGCCTCGGTGTGCCCTGCCTAATTACCATGTGACTTTATGAGTAAAGGGAAGCACATTACAAAAATTGATAAGCCGTTCCTTGCTTTGCTCTATTTCTTTAACATGGGTTTCTTTATTTCTAACGTAAGTCAGCAATAGCATTTTTGCCAGACTTTGCACTCAGTGTCAATGTTAATTTATAAATGCTGTTGTTACCTATAATAAAAGATGATTTTATTATTATTATTATTATTATTTGAAAAAGAAAAACCCACCAAGGTAGTTGCATAATATGAGGCTCATAACTATTGATTGGGAAAAAGGAGAAGTTTCTAGCTTGCTTGCTAGACAGTGTTTAGGGACTTTCTCTTTTGTAAACACCAGAGTCAGCTGCATATAGATCCTTAGATTGCCTGTGCTCTAGGCAGGAATTGCTCAGGAGAAATCAGTGGGAGTTAGGTGCCTACGGAGGATTTGTAACTGTGTTTGAGTCTTCAGAAGTGATATGAGATACTGCAGAGGGAGGAAGAGTGAGTGCGTATCGGTGGAATGAAAGTATCACGAACCTTCCTTGATGAAAGTTTTATCTTTTGACATTGGAATGAACTTATTTTTCCAAGATAGAAATGAGGGAGATTCCTTACTGAGAGAACTTGGTGTGTTGTGATTTGCTCCTAAAGTAGAACTAAGTTTGCATCAGAATGTGAGCACAAGGTAGGTGGAGGTCTCTCCTGGCAAAATACAAAGGCCGAAAGAAAATAAGAATTTTGACTGAGGTGACAATTATTTCAAATGACAGGTCTTCATCTTGAAAAAAGTTTCTTGTGACATTGGAGTATTTGCAGGGGGGATTTCCAATTAACATTTTATTTGAAACAAGAGGAGGGAGTCTGGATGTCTCTCTTGGAGCATCTGCAGTAGTGCACAGGTTTTACTATTTAGAACTGAAATGGAAAGTTCCAGTTTAGATTTAGTGCCAGAGTCTTTAATAGAAATCATGACTTGTGGTATATTATAGGTCACTGTATATTTGCTAGTTTATATTATGTTGGCTAAATTGGCAAAATGTTTATTTTTGCTGGTAAACATTCAAGAGGTTTTTTCCTCACTCGTTCTTTTTCCAACAAAATAGTATTTGTCATGTGTGGAATTAGGGCAGCATTCTATAAATCAGCTGCCTCAGTGATGATGTGAAATGTGTGGTAGCATACAAAGATTTCCTTTCTCCGGTACCTCAGGGCTGTACATGGAGTTAACTTTATCCTAATTTTAGTTCTGAAAATTACGGCTCTGTAGAAAACAAAATTCTTTGGCAGTGTAGGAAAAATACAAATTTTAAGTCTAATAAAAGTGGCTATTTTGGAGACGTTACCAGAAGGTAACGTTGATAATTTAGCTTGTCTCCAAGCCCCTTATAAAATTTCAAAAGCAAATTATTAACATCTTCAAATCTCTGTGAAGTCTAAATAGACTGTAGCCATAAGGATGTTTCGGTGAAGTCCATAACTGTTGGTGAAAGGCAGCACTGTGCTTTGGGCTATACAAGTAGTCAGACATTAATTGAAATGCAAAAAGTATTATGGTCAAATTTTAATGCATACTTGGTAACAATATGTGAATGTGTTCCTATAGGGGCTAATTGTATCATTTCTGAATTTACTTATACATCACTGCTGCATGCTGTGAATGGCATTTTCTGCCAAATGTTAGACTGTATAAAATGTATAATTACTCAGTGTGACACCATTCTGCCTGGATGAAAATTATCTCTTTTAGAACTGAAATTTTATGATTGCAGTGCTGAAGAAGTGTGCTCTGTTGTTCATTGCTCCAAGCATAGTGTAAAAGCATGGAGAAGGACATTTAAGGACAAATTTACACTTGCATCAGCAAGTTCCAATTTTTTCCCTGATTTTTACCTTGCATAGTTATATAACAGACATGCTTGTTTTGGACAGCTTTTTATACAAGGAATAATTTAAGAATTTCTAAGTTTATTCAGTTTTATATCTTCAGTATTTGGCATAAATGTGAACTGTAGTCCTGGAATTTGTAACCACAACCATAAGAAAGGGAGCAAAGCGTATTTCATTGTGAATGGTCATACTCTGCAGAATGAAGTAATGAAAGTTCAGTGTTAGAATGGCAGCTGGGAGGAGGAATGCTGCTGAATTAAAAAAAAAACAAACAAACAAAAAAAAACAAACCAAACCAAACAATCTATTAGATGTTTTAGCTCAGCCTTTTAAATTATCTGGGATGAGTTGATCCCTCTTGCATTATCTTTTTTCAGCTGTTACTGTATTCCAGCATAAAGCACTGAGATACAGCTTATGACACCTTGTTTAGCTTACATATGTCTTAAATGTGCCTGCACGCAGCTGGCATAGCATGTATCTTGTTGCTGTTGCAAAATTTCTTCTATAAGAATATTTTTAAAAATCATGCTCTTTTACCTGTTTTCCCTGCCATCTTCATTCTCGCTTGTCTTCTTCCTGTAGGCGAAGCAGCTCTAAGAAGTGAACCCAGAATGCAGTCTCTTCCAGTATCCTCTGCTCTAACCAACCATCGAACAGGCCCTCCTCCTATCAGCCCCAACAAGAGAAAGCTCAGCATGGACCAAGGGGATGATGAGCTAGACTGTGAAAATGAACATGTTTCTAAAATGAGTCGACTATTCAATCCGCATCTGTAAGTGTCTTATTTTTAATACCCATGGTTCGTGGAAACTAAGGCTAGCCCTCTGCGCCTTTGTGTGGGCTAAAAATCATATTGTATGTCAGACTTCAGGCTAGACTTTTCCTTTGTTCTAGTATGTATGGCAGATCTGCACAAAGGGCTGACATAACGAGATGGGTGGCTTTTTGCTTTGTTTTGTTTTGGTGTAACACTAAATAACAGGAATTAGTCTGACTCAACTATTTATAGCAAAACATGTATACTCATCTTGCAATTTGTAGAATACTGGGGTTTTTGTTCTTTGTAATCTACTCCTTTCACATCCCCAGACCCTGGGCGCTTTGTACTCTGCTGATGGAGGGTGGGGGAAGCAGAAGAGGGAGAAACAGAAGTGCTTTGCATTTTTCTGAGGCGAGGAGATTGTGAGCCAGCTGCTCTGCAGTCTGCCTTGACAACTGGGCAAGCTGCAGTTGTTACTAAACATTATTTATACTGTTGCACTCCAGCTCTCACAGTTGGAAGTGGAATTTTTTATACAGGTAAGGTGTTGATGAGTTAGGGGCATGTGTTGGGTAATCATCATATGCCATTCTTGCTGTGTTCTCATTCCTGGGAATGCAGGTCTGGTTGGCGTGAAATGCAGGCTTGGAGAATTCCTTTCATTCTTGACTGCAGGAAGTGATCAGAGTAGTTGAGCAGTCCAGGGTAGCTTGATAGCTGTACGCCGTTCACTGCTGCCTCAGCCCGTACAGCCCTGAGCATTCCTCACATTCCACTCTGCTGTGGACTGTTGTGTTCAGTCATAAGATGCGGACAGAGGTATTTATCCTCAAATAAATCACCATAGTGTTAGTCAGAGGCTGGGCCTGTAGTCTGCAGTCTTGGAATTCGTTACAAATCAGGAATTCAGCACTGAAGTAATGCAAAACAATAAAAGCTAACAAGCAGAGAGAGACTTCTCATTTACAGCATACCTTTTTCTTTCTCCTAAAAACTTAACTATTTATAGCCTTTCCTTGGCACTGAAAATGCTGGTACTGGAGAGAACCATATGGTAGTTTTCTATGGTAATATGTGACACAACTGAAGAATTTTATGGCATTTTTGAATTATTATGTAACTTTGTGAAAGGTGTGATTTTTAAAAATTCATATGCTAGTGATGAAATAAAGCACAGCTGGCAGTTACGTACATTATGACCCTTTATACAGTGGAGGCCAAAAATAAAATGAAGACCTGAAACAACAGACCCACATGCAACCAAAGTTTGAAACCAGAAGATACGGACTGTTTTTTCACATGATCCCTTAGATATATTTTTAGAGAGTCTGGTCTTTTCCAGTGATGCCTTTTTACTCAGTAGGCAGATTCTGTCCATGATTTTGTATATTAAATGTGCATGTTTTCTTCTTACAATAAGAAACATTGATTATCTGCCTAATGTTCATGTGATATGACTTAATCTGTTATAATTAAGCCATCAGGTTGCAAAAACTCAGACATTTCAGATGCATCAGAAAAGTTTACAAATGCCCTCTGGATTTTATTCCATTCCCTCCCCCCAATTACTTTAAAATTTTTCAGATTTTCCCTCTTTTTATGATTACAAGATTATGGTTTAACAGTAGGAGTATATTATTCAAACCTTGTAGAAGTGTCCTAACAATTTTGTATTGGAGAGGGGGAATGCGTGTTGTAGAAACTTGATTTGTTTGAAGTAAGGACAAGACATTAAATCTGGGGAAAGAAATATCCCACGGAACACAGTAATGGCAGTCGTATTGCAGTGACTTGGAGGTTCTTGAAGCACTAGTTTGGCAACATTTAAGTTAGAAAAACAAACGCAGAAGAGAAGCCCTTGCTACTGATACACTGTAGTGTAGAGACTACATGGCATGGTTATCATTGGAGACAGCAAAGGCATTTTGCCATTAACATGGCAATAAATTTAAAATTAGTTTCTTTCAGGTCTAATAGAACAATTAAAAAAAAAGCCCACCTTTGGAATTAAAATGCAAAACATTATGTATATCGCAAAATAGGACCCTCTTTGCTGCATTAATTTTGTGTTACAGCAGAGTTTTTAAAGTTGGTAAATATATGCTAAATTTTTTCGCAGGCCTTGATCACAATATCCAAGTATTGCGGATGTCTTTGGGTGGCTAATCCAAACACGTGTGCAGCTCTGCCCCTCAGAGTTGGCATGCAGTGATTTAAGCGCATTTATGATTTGGACTATAAAGATGAGATTTTTGGCAGCCATGTATTTTGAGACTTTCAGGACAAAGTCCTCCGAGAGCATAGGAGGAGAGAGTTGATGATATGAAAACTATTCTAGGCATAAGTGCCTCGACCAGTATTACAGACTGTACCTCTGTACTACACAGCACTGTTTAAATCCCTGCTCCTTCAGCCGAAGGCCTGCAGTTACTGTAAACGTCCAGAATGGACAGAGCTTTTCCATTTGGACATCAGTGCCTGGAAGACAGAAGTCTTTGTAACCAGGAGCATCTCTTGTCTCTTGTTGAGACATTTGGGTCTCTGGTTGTCTTGGCAGAATTGTGAATCAATTGTATATTTATCCTCTGAAAACCAGCATAATGTGGGTGAAAGCATAACTAAATAGGACAGTAATTGTGCCCTGTAGTTCATTATAAATGAGCAGAAAGTTTTGTCAGCAATTTGGTGTTAACCCTTAGCTAACAGTACACTAGTATCCCAATCACTGTGCATCAGGTTGGGAAGGAATCCATTTACATGGATTGAAGGATGCCAGACTTTTGTTTTGAAATTGAATGCTTTGAGATACTCCCTGTTCAGGTGTAGCTCCCTGATGCGTTAAAATACCGTCTTTGATTAGGTTCTTTCAGTGTTGTATTCAGATATGTTTATTTTAGCATGGAAAAACACAGCTACTGGGCTTTAGAGTAGAGTGAATCAAATGTCCTGCCAATCCTACTATGTTTTCTAAAACGTGTACTGGAATTCCCATGCACAGAACAAATGTATCAAAGTTTCTGTTTTTCAGAGGAACTAATTCTCTGCTTTATGATAATGAAATACGCTTTGAGACCTTGCAGATCCAGTTTCTAAAATCTGTATGTGAAGCTGCTTTACTCATTTTTGGTGGTATACTGGACTCTTGATACAGCATCTGTATTTTTGTGATCATAGAGCTTACTCCCATAAACTCTTCGCTTGGGAAAAAGGAATATACCCTCACTCCCACTGCAATTTAAAACCTTTCTGGCAGTGTCTTGTGCCTCTTACTATGCACTGCAATATAAATTTCTTCAGTTGTGTTCCACACTTTCTTGTGTATCCCTCAAATATTTTGCTTGAAGTGCATTTGCTAGTGTATAATCTTGCTGAATTAAAATGTGCGTTGTACCATAGTTTATTTGTGATGCTCTGTAAAGGAGAAGCTAGTTTATTTTAAGCATCATGTTGGAACACGTTTTTGTGTCCATATGACTTCACTAAAAGTTCACATTCATCTACAGCATAATTAGGAACTTGATTTATATAAGAATTGTAAGTGCTTTGTGTCTGGCTGCAGTGGCTGGAGAGTTATACCAGTCTTTCTTAACACGTGAAGCTTCTTTGTTATATTTCCGAGGTATACTTAGTGTTTCGTGGTAACTGCTGTGTAAAATTAACTGTAACTGGGTATTGTGATGTAAGTGTAACGCGAATGAAGTGGGGTGTACCTTTAAGTAAAGGTCTCAGGCCTGACCTATGTTATGTGGGTTTCTTGTTTGTCAGGCTGTAGGCATTTTCTCATTTTCACAGTTCAGCTGAAAACAAAGGCCTCCTTATCCTTGCAGGGAGCTCTTAAGAGCTGACATCAGCCTTTTCCCAGCAGGCATCATTTCTGCCTTAAGAGTCCTTGCAGGGAGCTGAGAAGCCTGATAACAATTTCTTCTTATGGCATTTTGTTTGCCAAGTAGCAAATAAAATGATTAAATGCCAAGAGCACAAAAAACTTTTTTTTTTTAAAAAAACTTGACGCTGGTCTGTTTTTGCTTCTCTGATTTTTACTAGGAACTAGCAAGCTTGTAACTTTTAACAGCATTTGTACAGGGGGCAGTTCAGTTATGGCTGGTACTTTTTAGATGTGGTGGAGCTATTTTAAAAATACTTTGCATGTTAGCAAATTGTGGGATCAGATCACTATGTTTAATGTTAAAGTGAACTGATGTCACTGACATCTTCCAAAGTATTCAGCTTTTGTACTATTAGTAAAATTATATATGAAACTGGCCATCTGAATTTATATTGGAAGGAGACTAATATTTTCATTAGCTTGTAGAGCACATCAGGCTGAAAAGTATGTGTTTTTGGTTTCAAACTATGTAGACATAAGTGCTAGGAATGGTATATTTTCCTCTCAACCTCTTGGTCACAATTCCTGTTTAATTTGGTAGCATTAGGTTTGCAATGGGAATTTATTTCTATATGAATATCATCTCATGGCCTTTAAGTACATTTGAGGAATAATCATCTCTTGACTTGTGTGACATAATTTCTTTTATTGTTGTAATAAAAGACAAAGGTCTATGCATGAATAAGATACTTTAATCTGCAACGTATAAGGTGATGTTTGGGTTTGCTTGGTTACGTCCAAAACTAGACAGTTCAGTTTCAGATTCTAGGTTGTGCCTTCACTTTTGTTGTAGTGAAGAATCATGGCAAATCTCATTCATAAAACTAGGTTAGGTTCCTTGAGTTTGGAAGTTTCCTTGTATATCATAAGTTTCTTACTCTGACTATCCCATGGAGTTTGCTCACTCTAATGATACTATAGTAGAAATTACCTTGGCACCATTTTTTTAATG